GGGATAAAATGTGTGATGATTTTCGATATCGTGCGGGCAACGAAATTGTTCCCCCGAATATTTTGCAATCCTTAGTGTTATTCCATCTTGATAGTATTTTACAGGAGTCTAAAAAAAACATCCGTCAATTTTGCCTTTATTATTCAACACCCGACGGGGAAACAATTGCTGAGAACATAACCAGATATTACGAGAACAGAGCTGTATCCTCGATTCTAAACGACGAGTTATCGTATGATCCGATTCAAATGCAACGCAAATATGATTCTAATTTTCGACGTCTTCGTCCACGTCAACGAGTGTTGGTGGAAAGAGTCATTCAGGCTGTGCAAGAGAAAAGACCGTTGCGTGTTTTTGTCGATGCACCGGCKGGAACAAGAAAGACTTCTTGCATTGAAACTATTTTGACGGGCATCAAGTCCCGTTATGCTATTGCACTGGTCGTCTCGTCCAGTGGCATAGCGGCGACTCTTTTAACGAGGGATCCCACCCACTCCCGATTTCGCATACCTTTGAAACCTGATAACAAGCGTCCCTTCTTGATTGCAAAACAAAGTGATCTTGCGGAACTTATCCGCCGTGCCGACTTGATTGTTTGGGACGAGGCTCCGATGAGTAATAAGTTTCACTTGGAAGCTCTTGACATTACGCTTCGGGACCTCTGTAACAATGACGAGCCGTTTGGTGGAAAAGTTCTACTTCTTGCTGGGGATCTTAGACAGGTTTTACCCRTTGTGAAACATGGATCGCGAGCACAACAGATTGATGCATCCATGAAAATGTCTCCTTTGTGGAAACTTTTTGAGATTCATCAACTGACTAAAAATATGCGAATCTTAAGCTTAGGGGATGACAAAATGGCACGAATGTATGACCACTTTTTTATTCGTATTGGGAATGGTGATCATCCTCACGTTGTTCCTAATGAACCTGCTGCGGTCAGATTGCCACGTGAGATTTGTATGAATAAACCAATTGATGAATTGATTTCATGGACGTTTGATGATGTGTCCAACCATGTGGGCGATGGCGAGTATTTCTTGCCTCGATTAATTCTATGCCCTACTAATAACGGTGCCGCTTCTGTTAACAACCGTGTTCTTGACGACTTGCCAAACCTACACAGGACTTAGTAGGACTAAACTCTACTCTGGCATCTGGAGACCTGGGCATGACCGGCAAGCGCTCGTTAAACAACTCGTCTAGCCCAATGACCGGTATTGTCCGACAGGTCTACTGAGTTCAGTGTAGAGGGTCTGAACTCCGAGCTGCAGGTTGAAACGAAGGCCGTCTTTAAGTTTTGAGGCCTGGTTGAACCACTCCCCTACCGGACYTAGTAAGGCTGATGATCTGTGTCTAACGACTTGACTGTCCCGAGGGATACAAACCCCTCCAAGGACGAGTACAGACCGGCGGGCTGCTCGGTGTGGCACAGTAGGTCGGAACGGCCGAGTTGTGGGCTGAAATCGCCAGGAAGAACTACGCTGATCACGTCGACCTGACTACGACGTTAAAGAATTCTTGCGGAGTTTTGGGGATCTCCTTAAATGCCTCCTGATCAGCTGTTAGTTCAGTAGTGACAGCCTTGGAGTTGTTGTGAGCAGTGGATCCTAGAGAGTCAGTCAGTAGGTCAGTGTGTTCGGGTAGGTCTAAGTGGTGAGGAGTGGGACTTTGTCGTGCATCTGACGCCACGATGGATGACTATCCGATGTATGGGGTGCTGGTTGGGTTCTCCCTTTGGGGGACCCTCTGGCGCCTCCTCTTTCCTCTGGGGTTCTGGCACACCTTCACGTGTACAGTAGATACCCGAGGTGGTGCCTCCACCAAGCCATACACGAAGGAGGAGGAGGCGAAGATGGCCGCCATTCTGCAGGAGAAGAAGGAGAAGAAGGAGGCCAAGAAGGCCTTGAAGGAGGAACAGGCAGCCAAATTAAAGAAGATAGAAGAAGAGATGGTCAGAGAAAAGGAGACGATACAGAAAGAAGAAGAAGAGAAGTTGAAAGAGGTGGAAGAGGAGGAAGAAGATGAAACGCCATTGCAGAGGAAGAGGGGGCAGTACAGTGGCAGTAGGGAGGAGGAAATGGAGAAGCGGATCTCAGAGTGGGTCGCCAACTTATCCCTAGGCGAAGAAGAGGAGGTGGCGATGTATATCTCTAAGGACGATCAGGAAGCCGCTATGAGAGCTTGGGAAGCAGAAAAAGATGTTGTGAAGCGGCAGGCAATGGAAGATGAAAAGAGAATGGAATGGAGGTTGGCGGTGATGAGGGAGAAGAAGAGGAGAGTGGACGCGGCAGCGGAGGCGGCAGAAGAATTAGAGGAGGTAAAAAATATAGAAGAGCAATTAGCCACCCAGACTGAACTCCCAGCCCAAATGCGAGTCATAGCTCGAAATGTTGCACGCCCGGCACGAATTTAGGCAGAGCAATACGACTTTAGTAGGAGCCAGCACATAGCAGTGCGTTCGATATGGTTGGGATTTCCGGACTTTGCTCGCGAGCTGGTAGGCGGTGTAGGTACCAAGGTGGG